TATTCGAGGAATTTGTATACATTTATTAGATAATCGACAAATGTGCCTTCTATTTTTTGTCTTAACACGTTACAGTTCTTGCCATTTTCTCTCAGTTTCTACAATAATCTGGAGCACTTCCCATAACGCTTAATGAAATGGTGTAGCATTATTAAACAGATTTTTTAAAAGGTATTTTCTATGTTTCGTGGACACCATTAGCAGTGCATGTTGACCATATTCCACATGTATGATTTGCAGACTGTTATCGAAATTACTTCGCCACAATTCAGTTAAATGTAGTAGAGGCAATATTTCTATTCTACCTGCTACGGAAGTTATAGCAGTCATTTCAAGACGTATCAGAACTATGCTTTATTTCCAAAAAACCGGTAACTGAAATCCATTCAGAATGGCCTATAAGAAACGTCAACATACGTAGATTTACACACTGTCCTAATTAAAATAATACCCAGATAACATTATGTTGTGCCTGAAGGTAGCCTACTAAAGATGAAATATAGCTTTGTCGTTATTTGTTGTGCCATTTGGAAAACGTAAAGAGTCACAGTTCCGAGCAGGATATTGTTCGAAAGCCCAATCTGAGTGCTTTGAGAACAGTACATACTATATATAGTTTCGTCATGGGGACTAATTAATAATATCACAATCTTGAGTACGTCCTTAGATCACTAAGTATGTCATCCCGAAGCTAATGAGGTAAGAGATCAAAAGATGTATTTAGGTCTTCAAAGTTATCTAAATGGTACTTCTATTCAAAATCATTTAGCTCAAGCTAAAATATTAAGAATAATTTCACATTTAAATTTCATCCATGAAACAGAGTATAGTACAAAAGCCATTGGTCGAGAGCATGTTCCAGATGAATAGACAAGAGAGATTGAGACGCTTATTACTGCAGAGGGTCACCCAGATACGGTCCGCTAACACTAAACACACTCGGTACAAAAGAAGATAAGAAAGCCACAAGGCATCAACAGCCTGAGTAACATTATTTACAACATCATCAGAAAAAAAAGACATGTTCATATTTGACGATCTCGACCTGAACTTTTCAAGTTATATTGACTTTCTGATAGTGCAGTGATAGCGTGCTTGTCTACTAAACTTAGGGACGTGAGATGATTTAGGTTCAAGGTTACACGTAGACACTCCCTTTGCCATCAAGAGAAGCCATCCGTTTGAAGCAGTCCCTAATAATTTAGGTAGATAGGACACAAAACTCAAAATACGTTTTTTAGTGCCGCTGGAGCATTGCTGATTTCTTTAAGTGATTGCCAATCAAATTATTGAACCCAGACCAGAGAAAAGGATTGTTTAAACGTATAGTTGCTCTTTTTGCGTTAAATTAGTAAGAAATATGCGGGCCATTTTCGGCATAACGATTTATATATAGATATGGCTTTTCGCGCAGCTTACACCTTATTTGAGTAGGCATAAAGCTGCGCAAAAAGAGTTTGCAGAAAAATTAAACGGCCCCTGAATTTCATTTCAGTCGTGAATTAAGCAATATATAAACATTAGGTCTTCCAGAGTATCGTTACTAACCATTTGGCCACTGCATACTCGTTCCGTCTCCATTACAGTATATTCAACGAGTTGTTTCGGCGCAAAAAGGCCTCGAAACGGTGTTTTCCAAAACAGGTGCTGTGGGACTTCTGCCAGCTGCACAAAGAAGTGTTGAGACGAAAACATCATGAGCAGAGAAAAGAACATGATTAACGAAGTAATAAATAAACTGTGTAATTTTATGGTTAATAATATAATACATATGAGCGAGAGATTAAAAAGCAGTTACTATACTTGCATCTTAAAAAAGGCATATCGGATATTTATTTTTCGCTAATTTTGGTAGCAAGATAAGTTGTAAGTGCAAGGCTTTCTTCAAAATCTGGTTGAGATACGAAATTATCCAGCTATTACCTGAAGTGTAGCTGGATCGATAATATGAATAGATGACGTTACTCGAAGGCAGACGCAAATCTGATTCATGCTTCCTGTCGGTGAATTTTATAGAATTTTAATGTAAAAAATCATTTAGCTTTTTTATACATACAATATCAATCAAACAAAGCTACAAATTACACAACTTCTGATAAATCAGTTAAGCATAACTTGTTTCAATTTTTTATGGTAAGGTATTATTTACTGGGTGTCTTTGACACCGGCATAAGTCAAGATAAGAGATCAAAGTTTATGATCGATGCTTGAATGGTTAAACTCGGTTTATAAATAACTAGCTTTATATTGCACGGTAAAGTGCAAAACACATATTCGTTTAGGGTGGAAACCTAAGCGCACATAATCCATACGAACCACATTCAAAGTCGCTATTGGTGTTATGCTTATTTCACGCGTTTCTCTATGTATACGCGAACAGGTTTCGTGCTATCATATTAATTAGCAATAATATATGTTAGGTGTCGAACAATATGTATATTATAAATTTGCGAGCTGTTCCCTACAATCGAGTAACAAAAATATTAAAAAAGCGCATTTTAAAAGAATCTGCTCAGTAACTAACTAATTCAATAAAATGCTCAGTAAAAATACTTTGAAAAAAAAAATCCTACATACTAACCTAGCTGCTTAGCCAGTGGAGCTGGCAAGCACACAACGTCGCCTTTACAAACCGGCGCAATGTCAACTGAAAATGTCGTCTTATAGTTAAACGTGTTCGAGTGGATGTCATGGGATATGAGCTGCTGCGACTCAATCACCTTCATCGGGATCATTGTCTGAAGCGATCAAACGACATTAGATAACCAAATTTACAAAAGCTGATTATGAGAACATGTTTCACAAATCCTTAATTGCTCCGATCCGTGTCGTGAACTAGAGGTAAAGTCATGGATGACCTTGCCTTGCGAAAGACGATAAATAAAACCCTGAATTGTGGAACCTGATATGTGGATGCAGGGATCAGCTGGGATCCAAATCGGTAAATCATACCTGGAAAAATTGCACAAGTTTGCGAGCCTCGTCCTTTTTTGCAAAGTAGAAATCGATACCTTCATGAACGAGCTTGATATTTAACGCGTCCCTATGTGCATTGTACTTGAGAATTAACTGCTCCATGTAGAATAGGGTTTTCTTGTGTTCCACCTAGTTCAATATAAAAACAGCAGAGCAAATTGAGGACAAATAAGCATCTATTTGCGGAAGTTGTAATATTACAAGATAGTTCGCATATGATTTTTTCTTTTTTATTATTTTTAATGAGACCGTCTTAACACGTTGTGAAAGATACCTTTAATCTGTAAGCTGAACGGATATGGCGACGTCATAGGGCAATCGATTTGATATTGTATATAATGATACAAATATCAGGTTATCGAACGGAGGCATGGAAGTTGAAATAATTAGCTAGACCAAGACCAAGGTCGTTCGTACTATAGTAACTTTACTAAAATTTTATCAGTCGCAATTGATATCCACTATTACAGTATGTCTTTTTATTAACTGACATCAGATAATAGAGTGAACCCGATTACTCCGTCTGCTGCTCCTAACTGTATACCTTTTGCCGGCACTGTACAAGGGCACGCCAGAAGTCCTTAGCTTCTCTTCGGTGGCATGAATCACACATCAGACTGTTGACGGTAAACTCGACGACGAAAACCTATTCAAATTTTTATGCTAACTGTTATAAAACGTAGTGATATCCATTTTGGTTGACGGTGATTGCAAAGCTTATATGCCGAACTGAACAAGTCTCAACAGTTACACAGACTCAGACCCCATATAGAGTAGTAGCATCGTAAATTTTGTCTTCAATAGATACAGTCTTTATCTCCAGCTATGTCGTGTATATATATATATAATAATATGTCGTGAATATAATAAATCCATTTGCAATCTACACATTGACGTAATCATTACAAAAATAAAATCGTCCTACCTGTTCAACGATAGCTCCACCTAGAACCTCCTTTTGAACGCTGAGTTTTACTTTCACTCGCTTTGAATGCGGTTCTGTCCAAATAAAGCCAGCGTCGACCAAACGAACCTACAAAATACGATTATAATGATAATGTGACTCCAGATCAACAAACAAACCGAAAGTGCTTTGGAATAAATTAAACCCATTTAAGGCGACTCAGATGAATTTAACTACGAATCATGCTGACTGTAATCTGTTTACATGATCGAATTCGCTGTGCGTTGAGCTATTTCTATTGTCAAAACAAACCTACCCGATTCAGACCTCTAATCTTCTTCAGACAAATAGCTAAAAGTTCGCGCGACTCCAACGAGGCGACCGACCATTGAGCAGGGGGCTGAAGATATCTTTCACAACTCTTACAGAATTGGAGTACACCTGAAACAAAAACCGTCATACACAAACTATATATTTCACGTTCGATAATTTGCGATAAGTTTGCTAAATAGTATATGGTAAGTCCACCAGCCACAGCCTTTTTACCAGTACTTCACGAGAGGAGTTAATTTCTCTACCTACCTTGCTTAGGGATACCATCTGTGATGTCGACTTGAAGTCGGAGACAGTTGATACACATGTTGGCAGGATTTGGCTCGATGTCTATTCCGCATTCGCAGCAAAGAATCCGATTCCCAGCGGGCGCGGGGGCGACGAGTAGAGTCGCATCAGCCATGTAATCCATCTTGTTGGAGTTGCAACGGTTGATATGACTGGCTATGACAGACCTCTTTGATCAAGAACTGATGGGTTTCTTGTAGCTCCTTCTAATAACCTGCAATATTTTGGTTAATAGCAACATGCTGCAATTCTCAAGATAGTGCTATGATAACCCATTTTAAACTTCAATCTGTCTTATAGGTCTTATAGGCCAGACCAACACAAAGCAAAACATTTTCCTGGCCCATTTCCAAGTGTTCCAGATCTGTAGTCTCTTTAGACTCTATTACTCGGGAAAACGTAAGGGTTTACCCACTTGGCTTGATGACAGAGCAGCCTTCAGATGCGTATCGCATTGGCATGATTTTTATACCTCACGCTATAATTTCTCACTGTTACCTTCTTTACGAAAAATATTTCCGTAAAATCCTGCATCACGAATGTCCACATTTGAATACGCGACCTATCTAAAACTGTCTCATAATATCAGCTTAGATAGAGTTTCAGTCATTACAAGTACCAAACGAAAATGCACAATCTCATTATCAATATCAGTCCATATGACGAGGAAGCAGGAACTCCTTCACCGGGCGTCACAAAAAGCTAAAAACTATCGACGCCAATAAAAAAAGCAGGAAAGATATCTATTGACATTTCATTAGGACGTGAGGCATGTTGTCTTGTAGGAAAGCGATTTTATCACAACCTTCAATCAATGAGGTAATTAAACCAGCAGCCTTTTCATAAAAGGGGTACGACGACAATAACCAAGATTCAGAAACAAATCAATTCATGCTGACCAAGTGGGTTCATCGACTAAGTGTTACATAAAGTTGCGTAAATGGCGTAATAATTGCCCTTCACTTAGTGCTAGTCTTCGCTCATATGTCTGTTCCTAAATGATAACACATTAAAACTTACCCAATTTAGTCCATCTTTGAACATGAATAATCACGTTTTCGACACCTGCTTTAGCTTAACATAATGTACCATTTCTACCGTTTCAATATATGTTGTCAATCTTTTTTAAGTACGATTAAATCATGTATTTTCGTATATGCAAATTAAGAGCTCTGGGTAAACAATTAGGGCACGGCACTGTCTGTGTTGAAATCACAGCACATCCCTGTTAAGCGCTAGTTCCTGCAGGCCATATTACTTCTATTACTAAAAAACATGGCTTTAATCATTTCGAACAAATACAACCACAGTCCACAAAGATATTCCAATGTACCCACCGTATGCACACAAAGTCACCTCAAAAAACGAACCGACCCTCACATGAACATGAATTCGCCTAGACTTGTCTATTCGAGAAACGTCAGACGCGACAGCAGTAGATGCTAGCTGCACGTGCCCTCTAATTACAAATCTCCGTTTTCATTCTTCCGTCGAATAAGATCAGCGTTGCCTTGGGTAAGTAGCTTCGTCTGTTATTTCGTTTAAAATCCTTTCCGTAAATGAAAGTTGAGTAAATGTGGATAAATCAGAGTGTAAAATCTAAATAAATTAATTATTCATCTACAAAAAAGAGAAAAATGTTGAGAGGGATGTTCTGCGCAGCTACAAATATTGTATGACTTCTGAACGTATCATTTGCAGGTACAGCAATTGACTAGTGCTGATGTGAGCGTGTTCGGAAGTTTTGTTTAATCCATAGAATCCGAAGAAGAAACAAAGAAAGATGTATTTCTGTTGTGCGTAATAATATTTTTAAGACCATTTAAGCCTCACAACTGAAAGTTCACCGATGTTGGTAATGCTTCTATGAAAGCTGACTAGTAGTAATTCTTGTAGACAGACTGCTGTGGAAACTGGTTCTGAGAAGGCTCGAATCGGTTTATTATTTTTATATATTACCTTTAATCTTTTAGAAAAAAGTACAGTATTTTGTTACTTATTAAAAGTATCTTTCTTTTATACGCGGTAGATCTAATAGAAGCATTGTGCTCTTCGACGAGCTCGCGATGAACAGATCAAATGCGGTAGACATCTATCATCGCGAATACGTAAAACTACGTTGCTATCTATTAAAATTTTGCAGAGTATGCCTCTTTTAGTGTTAAATCGGCAAGAAAACTTTCACTTATATTTTTATCTTTTTAGAGCTTTTTTATGAGTAAGCTAATTATATAGTCACATCATTAGGTATCACAGGTTGCTAGGTGCTTGACTAAAAATTTAGATTATGTACGTTTATGGTGTTCTAACGGATAATTAAATTTGTCTGTACTTACGCCCTGAGTCTTTTTTTGAATGATATTTAACTCTTCGCCTCAGAAAACACTGACGAAACCGCGGTGATCGCATGAAACTACTATGGGATCCAATATTCCATCAATTACGGCGGTAAGGGTTCTGTATAAGCAGCTGGCTCGTTACGGTCAGGAATTGATGCTCACGGATCGTACCTGGTATAATCGTAGACTTCGACTTGAATTCACCAAGGACAGAGCCACTGAGGAGGATTTGGAATTTGCGTATCGCAAAGGACTCCGTTTGCTCGCGTATAAACGGCTCATTTAGAACTACCAACCTTAATCTGCGAACTGTCTCTGTTAATCAAGCGATTTAGTCGCGCATAGTCACAATTATGGGTAAATAAAGCTTTCGCTTATTTTTGAGACCATTTTGTAGAAGACGGTTAAACTGCCCTTCGCGGTGAAAACGGTGGTTGTAAAAACTGGTTATATTATGCACTGCGCTTAATACACAGAGCCTCCTGTAAACCTTAAATTTAACAAAACTCAATGTTGCAGGCACGACTATTCGCGCGCTCTTATCTCTTCTACCGCTAAACCAAAGCCCTGCTGGCCTATGGACAAAGAGCCTGTCTTACCGAACAAAAGTTACTATCGATAAGTACGAGTATACGAATCAATAGACCATACATATACTGCTTTCTTTTTTTATTAAATTAAGTGCCTACTCCAGTAGTCAGCAGTTAACGATAGTCACTTGTCAACAACGAGAAAAATGAATAAAGTATACGACAACTTGTTTTTTTGAAACCCAAGATCTTATAACATCAATACCCAGGTACAAGACGATAATTTTGGATTTTTTTTCAATCATATAATATATTTAAATCGCTTTAGTTAGGTATTCTTTGATAAAGTTGTATAAAATGCGCTTTTTAATCACAGATTTTGTAATATGTCAAAAAGTGTTCCAAATTTTGTTATTTGTGACAATTTTTATCTGAAAAGACAATTAAAAATTGAAAAACCAATGCAGGTCTCGGGTTCCAGTGCTGAATGAAGATGAGTTAGAGGAACAGTTCGTCAAGGGGACGGGTCCTGGAGGACAAAGTGTAAACAAATCAGTCAATTGCGTAGTTCTCTGCCATGTGCCTACACGTAAGTGTCAAATGGAGATGGCAATTCAAAAAGTATTGAAATTCATTATTAAATATGTTTTTGAATACTATCTATTTAGCCTTGACAACAACCGTAAGTTAAACGAGTATGTATAATGAGATAGCTGATATACGCTGCCAAACCATTTCTGTGCAAACAACATCTAGGAAAAGTTATCTCTATATATGCGTAATTTAAGAATAGCTATGTAGAGGGAGTAGTAAGTTGTCGGGTATTTTGTGGGCGCGATAATATAGAGAGCTAAACTTCTGACTGATAGAAAGAGCCAAATGTCAATATTCATCCCAGCTGTTGTCGGAATGCATTACGTAAAATGTGTTATTAAAAAAGAGGAAGTTTTCTTTATCGATTATGTAGCCAGTGCACTTTTTATTTCTCTACTGTGCATATACCATAGATTTGTGTATGATATAGATTAACTCACCTCCGTATCAGCCCACAAGCAATCTGTTTTGATTTAACAGATACCATCGTACGCTGCCACCAATCACGGCTGCTCCATGAGAATCGAAAATACGCCCGTAAGATGCTTGTAGAAAAGCTCGACGACCTATGGAACGGCGAAATGTCTGTGCGGAGACAGAAAGAAAGAATTGAAAAAAATAAAAAAATCAAAATGGAGGCAAAAAATCGTAAGAACCGAGAAAAGAAGAAACTCGCCAAGGCTCTGGCGGAGCTGGCCGTGAAAGAAGGCACTTTGTCTTCTGAGGAACATGCACGCGGCCAGAGTGCGCAGCGCGGCGATTATGAGGAATACGGTCATAATCCATGGGAAAGAAAACCACATAAGTCACCTTCTTAATCGAGGCAAGGGCGAGACGAGTAAGAAATCTCCTTTTGTTCGTCGTGCACAGATGATGCGTGTTGTTTTAATTAGTTATAGATCTTGAGGACGTATTTCAAAGTTAGTTTTAGTAGGAATATAAGTTAAACGGGTTTTTTCAAACTTCCTTGTGCTTATCATGTCGATGTGAGAGTCTATTGCGAGTTCAATAAATAGGGCAATGATTATATTATAATGATAATAGTACTAATTATTCAATACCTACAACGACAATCACATGTCATTTCGATACGTTCCAGAATAAAGAGCCACTATTAGATATAATAAACTTGGCTATTCGAAACATATTGGGCGGCCTTTAATCTGTACTTGACTGTATTATGAGATAAGTAGCATACTTCTAGTAGAATTCTACCTGGAGAATGAAACAGGGGTGCAGTACTGAACTAGACTTCGAGGGAAAAATTAATTGAGAACTCGAGAGAAAAAGCCATTCTCTCTTTGTTGATCGCAACCGAAAATGACAATAGATATCACGCTACGACACCCAAAAATAATTAACAAATGAAGAAACGTATGTTATCAATTTATTCAAAGCAATGGCACAATGTGAAACAGGTCGTTTGTACACTGTGATGTAATATATAATTGTTATCATCAAAATTGGTGCAAACACCTACTAGGAATAAATAAGTAAAGCCTTACCTATCTAGATAGCCCTATCCAGGCGTTCGCGGTAGTCTTTACTACGCTGTTGGATTAATACTGCTATCATCATTAATTATATTATTTTTGCACCCATCGTTTCTTCATACCACCAAGTCTATGATCATTCTGCCTCTGCAGTCTATAATCATGAACAATAGTACCTGTTAGTCCTTGGCGTATTACTAACCATGTTTAGCAATGACAGACTGTTGCCCACCAGGAGCCTTCATCATACTATCTCTGTACCGCAGCACTGGCGAGGTGGTACCGCCTTCATGTACAAAGCGTCTTTCCTTGCGTTTCTTCCACACCTGGCTTGCATTCTAACAGTGGATAACCATAAGCAGTAGTTTTATAACTTCGTCCACCTTTCTCTCTCTTTCTCTATCACTATTTCTAAATCTCTTACACACCACGCTGATATCTGCCGCATTCATATTCCTTTTGCGTGCACAATAATTTGTAGACATTGTATTGATTGAACACCTTGATTCAACCTGACGACTCATACTCGTCGGCAGCTATCTGTATAATAAGTTCATATCTCAATCATATCCATGCGGTTCAACGTAGTTAATGCTTGCATTTATTCCACTAGTCTTTCTTCGTTTTCCTCTGATTTCTCCTGAGTCTGTGTATTTTCTCGGTTTGTTCATTTTACGCTTCTATTCACAACGAGAAATCATCAGCATCATTCGTACAACCGACACACACCTTTTCGTCTTATCTGATGATTACCTTAGATTATCTGTTAGCATTATCCTTTCTTATGAGTACGTTGTCACTTATCGTCGATTTATCTCGCCTGCTCACTCAGTACTTTAGCAGTGTCTGGAGCAGTCCTCTCATGGCTGAGAAGCAACAGTAATTTATAATATATATATATATATAATAGTTTTGTCAAAAACCATACTGACTACACACGAGTCTTCGAATTCGCCTAAGGAATAGGTAATGCATATTAAGTAGATATGCAAATAGGCAAAGTGAATTAATTTATTTATTATTATTACTCATTAATTTATAAAAGATTTTATAGGAGATGCCATCAACCTGGCTAACAAACGCATGATCTTGTCGTTGTGCGACTTTAAATAATCTCTCTTTAGTCGTCAAATTTTCCTCATTTTCATCTTTCCTTTCATGAACGTGTGCATTTAATACGAGGATAGGCGCTTTCGGGAAGAAATGCATCTTTCTTCGAGTCCTCTTTGTACGCCAAGCGTGCAATAGCACTGGATAAACGTCAAATGCTTCGCAGTTAGCCTGAACGTGCGTTAAGTTGTTATTATTATTGGCCTTCGACAAGTTCTACGATACTCTGAAGGACATCTTTATCGCTAAAGCGATGCGTCGGTTCCCATGAAGGAGTTTTTTTCTATTGTTTTTCTTCTCGGTGGCCGTCTGCTGGATGATCTTTTCCGTGCGATAAGTGCTGGTTTCCGCCGGAGGGTCCCGTTCCGGTAGGTGTTACGGCTGCCTCAAGACCGACATGAGCGACAATATCGTTGATATTTCGCTCGAGGTCCTCTATGCGATGAGACATGTCGTCGATTCGACCGAGAATCTGTTCCGACATTACAGTAAATTTATCCTGCATGTGTTGAAGCAGGTCTTGGACCTAAAGAAGGAAATAAATACAAAACCCATGCCTTAAATAAATACCAAGCGGATGTGATTTAAAGTGAATTTGTTTAATGAAAGAGGCATGAAAGCATATAATCGAAACACTGTTTAAATACTATATAATAAGTGAAATGAGGTGTTCTCTTACTTTCCTACACTATTCAATTATTGCTTATAAACACTTTTAGCTTATAACCGTCAAATCACTGATAATAATACCTCATCTGCAACTTTAAACCACTGAATGATGTTGCTTTTTAGAGCATTTTTTTTTCATTCTTCTACGAATACAGAGTTCGATTATTATGGGTTATCTTATTATTCAGTTTTAATAGTTAGGGTTCACACCCGAACGGGTTTCTACAAAATAGCTAAAATAATAGGCATGTTCCTGTCTCGATAAAAATCACATGAATATTCTTGCTGCAATATACAGAGCCGAAAAAAAAGTATCGAGTCGCTAGAAAGGAACAAGGTGCCCACTATTACCATTTACAAAATGCTCTCGAATCATTGAAGCCTCTTTGAACGCTCTGCCCATGAAGTCGCTTTAAAACTTACATGCTGTGTTAGATCCTGCAGATCCTTCGGCTCGACAGGCCGGTTCTGAAGGCCGCCATCCTGTTTTTTGTCAAAACTCGAATTCTTCTTTGTGTTCTGCTGCGGATCCGCCATGTCGTTGTTTAACTCACTGCTGCACAGCACCGTTCAGCTTTAGTACATCTTTCTCTTCGAGTATTGTTTGTCTATCGCGAAAATCACCCGCTAGATGAGCGGCTTTGCTGTCATCCTCCTCCTTTAAAGGAGAGGGCATTCATGCGCGAATGCATTGAGGCGCGGGCGGACGACGACATTTTTTTCACCTATTTACCTGCCAACAAATAATATAATTTGTGCTACCTAACTAATCAGACTTAACCGCTGATTCGAAAGCGGTCTGTTTGAGAGTAGCTCACCTACGTGGTTCACGATCAACAAGAGCGGACCTGAACTGGCTGAATCTTGTATAAACTTGTAGGCCAATTTCTCCGCTAATTAAGTAATAAAGTAAATATTTTTCAAAGAGCAAACTTGACATCCGTTAACTCTATATCAGGGATGCATCAGTTGTGCAGTACAGTGAAATATATAGTCTACTTGCCCATCAGCCTATCAGTTTAAATATGTGCGAGAGGTATATGTACTACTTTGGAAGTTATCAAAGGTTTGCGCTTTTAACGAATCCGTAGTTATTTTCGGGTATTTTCTAAGCTGCTGCTGGGTGACGAATTCTTTCACAACAGATCCAGAACTTCTTGTTTTATGTTGATATGAAGATTCCTGCAATGAAAAATTGCTTTATTATGAAATGATAAATTCGGGGTTGTATTTGACGCAAACTGATAAACTGCTAGAATTAGCTGCTTTTAAGAGCATTTTTTTGTTCCTCCTTTTAGGCTCTATCTAGATATTAACCGATATTTGAAAAAAAAAGTAAAGGTTTTGCTACAATTCAAATGCTATTGGTCTTTCTCAATCAAAGTTGAATTTCGTCTGAAAAATCTTTTTGTGAAGTTAACAGTTTAGTATGAATATGGAATTACGTATTGTTACACTCTCTGTTTACGCATAATGTGCATAAATTAAATCTTCAGCTATTATTGTATAAACGGCCGACTAGTCTTTCATAATACCTAAAGAATAATATAACTCTAGTTTTATACTTTTTAGGAGAAGACGCCTCAACAAAATGTTCGGTCTACTCAGCCATTTAGCCTAATAAAAGTCGTGATGAAGGCAAGCATGTGGTGATAGACAAAAACGTTCGAAGATATCTTTTGATTCATTATAGAGGGATTCAGTGATTGGAAACTTCCCCATGCCTTTACGGTCAAGTTTTGCCTTTGGAAATCTATGCGCTCTGCGTACAAATATTTGAGATGTTATCATGTGTCTGAATTTCTATTTGAAACGTTCTTCGTCTAACGCAAGTATTTTTAGTTAACTTCAGGGATATGTCGTTCGTGTTAAACATCAAAATTTATTTCGTACCACTATTACCGACTTCAAATGGCTTATTACCTATTCAGCACAGGTTTCCTGAAATGGAGGACTGCTTCCGATAGTCATAGGCTATAATTTTAAAGTCGTTCAGAAGAGTGATTTCAAACCGATTACGAAGCTTGCTAAGAATAAGCTGTGTTTACTATAGTGCGGAGCCCAACGAAGACAGTTCGCTTCGATCGACACTATCGTCTACGAGCATCTCCTCGAAATGTATTCAAAAGTTTTTTTCTAGTGAGTTCAGTTCAGACAAATTTTTCTAACAATCATCCGAAACTATAACTTATCACCTGTTAAACTATAATTTGTGAAGTGCATGGTTGGGGGTTAGGGACACACATTGTTACCCAACATCAAACACTTCTGGTCGAAATTTACTTGACATGGCAGTTAGATTGTAACGTAGTTATTTTACACATTTATTATTACAATAGTAATGTACATTTGGAGTTATACAGTTTGTTAATGTAAAAAGCCAGTAAATACGTTATGTATTTGTAGCTGACTTCTGAGAATCTCATAGCAATAAAGGCCTGCAGTACCAATCGAATCATCGATCGACTGTGATTCGATTTCACCCCAAACTTTACCTCGGATCGATATGTTGTTTCATGCTTGTGTCTGTACAACAAACTGCTATGCAAGCAATGCAATCATCGCCAGCATATTTAGAAGAATCGCACATTCTATGTTAACGTGGACCAGGACAAATAAATACTATGTATATATATATATATATATATATATATATATATATATATATATATATATATAATGTTTTTTCGCGTTTCTCGTCCTTTGCCGCCTGCAGCTCGGCCTAGGGTTGATTGAATCAAATCACTCTTTGGAACGTCAAATTGCACATTTATTGTTGGCTTTCAATGCAAATTCAAGGGCTATAAAGCAACAGCTGAAACAGCTGCTTCGATTTGTGTGAACGGCTTAACTAGTACAACCAGATTTGTGGATTAGACTAGTGATTTACATTGCGAAGGTGTGGCGTTACTTTCGTTACCATTAGGAATGCATAGAAATAAGCTTGAGCGTTTCAAAGTATGAAATTAGAATCGTTACATAGTAAAAACTCTATAATTCATTGTTGTCAATTAACTGTTATGCATTATATAATTACCGGTAGTACTTATAGTCGACCGATAAACTCACAACTTTTATCTAAGACGCGTCGCTTATATACTATATAGTAGAATATTATTAACGTGGTTAGGTTTGTCAAATAAATCAATGCAAGAAATAATGCGGAGCTAGGAATCCGTTTCACGATTTCCAAATATCTATTTCTTTTTTCTGTCGATACAAGCACCGATTGCGCGGAACTTCAAAAGCGAATACGATAAGTTTCCTCATTTTTCACCTGTTGTTTTGTGTCAGGATAGTGACTCTCCTTCACTGTTAATTTTAAAGTTAGGTACACATGCGTTTTTGATGGCCCGAATACATATTTGTGTTACTTTTTCGATTCCACGTACAAATTTTGGTTCCATGGAATTCGAGCGATACAATTGGAATTCGTTAAGAAAGCTGAACAAGTGATTTGAGGTGTTATGTTCTTGATGGGATTGTATGACCCCCTTCGGCCCCAATATTTTTAAAGTCAAAGTAATCTTAGTGGGCCGTTTCGCGAGCAAAAACACAGTTTTATCAAGAAGCTTTGTTGTGCAAATGTGAACCAGAATGTTTCTGCATATGAGAATGAAAAAGAGGGCTTATTTTTGTGTTTTATCTGGGGCAGCCTGTTTACCGACAGGCATTGTTAGAAGAATCCATGCATTTTGATTAGTTTATCCAATAGTTTCTCCACAAAAACATAACAAAGAGCTCGTTAGTGGAAATTATTTATCACTGGCTTCAAACTATTGGTTAACTAATTGCATTTACAGTTGTATCACCTTCGCATATTTGTCTTCTGTCTACCTGCTTTTTTAATTTGTTAAGCTTTGTCCATAGTTGACCTTAAATTAGAGTTTTAATCGGTCACACTGTGGTATTCGTTTCAACATTCATCGTTTCAACAAATTATTCACTCTACAAATCCTCAAACTAGCAAAGTCAAAAATTGGGTAATCTATAATATTTTAGATTCACTGATATTGAAAATTAGACATATTTAGATAGAATTTATTAATGAATGGAATGTAATATAAAAAGTCGATTATCACAGCAGTTTCAAAAGTGTCGCAGTTGCATAGGCGTGTGATACTTTTAATATTCCCTACGCAGACGTATTATGACGTCAATCTATTTGTCAAACATAGATAACTAAATTGATATCATCATCAACTTCACATCGATTGTGATTCGCCTTCAACAACGTAGTCAAAGAATAAGATGCCGTAACGTTTGGTAAAACGCTGTAGGTTCTTCGACTCTGCAGACAGTAACTCTTTAGGTGATTTCTTTGAATTTCTTTCTAATGCAAATGTTTTCTTAGATGCTCACATTTACTAGTCTGCGCCCCTTTCCTATGCTTGATTAGTTAGTAAGGTAATCAATTGGTACCGAAAAGTTTTAGATCTGTAACAAATGAAGTTCCTGCTAAAACTCGACGTTTGAACTGCTGGCTGAATTTTTCCTCGTTTGCCTCCGTGTTTCTACTGATGTCTGCTCTATCCGTCAATAATGATCATACCATCACTCCCGTAACTCGTTGATGACGGGATTTCCATCATTGGCATTGTCCTCCATTTCGTTCGATTACTAGGTTGCCAAATCGTTCGCAGCCGTAGACTTCTCCTTGTGCTTGTCGTCATCGTTGCCTTCGGATCACTTTCCTTTCCGTCCTCTGCTTCCTACGGCAGCCACTCTCAATCGACTCCTCAGACAGATCGCTGCCGAGACACCTTCCGCCGTTTCGGCGGACGCTTGAATGTTCGTGCAGCTTCGTAGCAGTCTTTCGTACCCTGCGCATAATTGCTACAGCCGCAACAACTGACGCCAGCTTTCTTGCCGTCGGCGCATTTGTCCGTCCGTAAATCCGTCCGTTTGCCTACCGCAGTTTGTGGCGGTGTCTTATGGCTTTATCAGAATAACACTAATTTTTCTCTTGTCCTACAGAAGGCATCGTGAAGGCAAACGTCATTACCTGAGCACATAGCACATTTGTGCTTGCCCACAATGAGTTAACCCAAGCTTGGGCTGAGCTGAGCGCCTCCACCGCGGTAAGCAGTGTAGCCAGAGTTGGATCGGCCCAATCGTGGAGCAGTAGACTCGTCGTCACAGGGATGGAGTGAACCACGCGAGCGTTTCTGGCTTGCGCGTTTCTGGTATCCTCCAGCCGCCGGTGGCGCTTCTGCTGTTGTTGCTGTGTGCGACTGCTGCTGCCACAACGAACGACTGCGAGAACAACGACTCTGTCATGAACTGCTGATGTTACTGTTGCCATGATTTGCTCTCTGCCGTTACGGGCGCCGCTGTTGCCCCACGGGCCGCGCTCCTCCGCCAGCCGCTGTTAGTACGCACAGTTTTCATCGTAGCTTTTCCTGTTATCGTTGGTGTGGCTGTGTCGCTAACGAAATCAGGACTGGCGCAGCGACAGTGAGAGTCTCTGCGATGACCGCAACGCTCGAGGCTACCGACTAGCCTCCCTGTGTGCATATGTGTGTCTATATTTATGCACCAGTGTTATGAGTGACAGTCGACGGCTCGGCATCTGCGTGAGGAGCTGCAGCTGTAGCAACAATAACAGAATAGACAAAGAGCTTTCGTCGTCATCGCTATCGCTCCCGCCGCGGAAGGTGGCTGTAGGCGAGGCGTAGTAGTGATAATCGTTGGTAGAGCCGTCACCTGAAGCGACGGATCTCTCCGAGGACTGTTCCGTTGAGTAAACTAAGCGGCTGGGGCTTGTTTGTTCAAGAGCGAACCACAGACGAATTGATTGTTACAGCTGGGGCTGAGGTAACCGTTGTCGCTCTTCTACCAGCATTCACTCGCTCACTCACCGCTCGACCAGTGCAGATTTTTCGTGAAGTGAGTAGTCATACGGCTACTAATTAGCTGTGAATTCGCGGCAGTGAGCTTCACCGTGGGACGGTGCGTCTTGCTGCGGATGAGTAGTAGCCGGTCAGTGCATGGAAACGGAGTTTGGGCGTAGCACGAAGATTCAATCTTCTTTTCTATGACAAAATCAACAAAAATCAAAGAAAACGACGCGACCACAGCGATTCTCAAATCTGTCAGCAGGAACAGAGAGAGCTGATGCTGTTGCTAGTCGAGCTGAAGTTTCAATCGTTCTATCGATTTTCTCTTTATACGCGTGTGGATGTCGCGTGTTCCACCGCCGCTGCTAATTCGTGTTTATCATTCACGAGCGCCACGGCCAGGGATCGACGACGGCAGGACGGCCGGTCAGTCAGCTAGCCGCTATAACCGCCCACTACAATAGGACCGAGAACGACACCCAAACCTACTGTGGTATTCTTCGACTTCCTTAAAGCTCCGCTGCAAAGTGTCGTGGTCTGTGTTTTCCAACAACGAATAGCAACAATTGCAAACAAAAACAACAAGGACAAATACTACATCCAACTAGTTAAAAAGAAAGCGAGCGACGGACAGTGAACCAAAGATGACGGAAACCATGTTAGACAAAACTATGAAAAACTGGAAAGAAGAAGAAATCGCTCTCAATGTAGACAGTAACTCGGTAACAACATTCGTTTGATACAAGAAATTTCAAAAATTGACCACGAATGCAGCAGCGAGCTATACCAGTGTCATTGGCGATGCGTCTGTTGTTGTTCTCTGCAGAATACCACGACGTATATAGCATAGGGTAGAAACTGAGGACACGATGTATTCAGGCCATTTTTGAGTTTGAACGTATGAATGTAGTGGTCCCCAAGCATTTACCGTGAACGCAAACAACCTCCTGCAGTGCTCGTACCTCCCTCTCGTGGCATCGAATGGCAGTGGCGGAATGTACCGCCACCACATCTAATCCTAACGGCGCACATCACGCTTCAAACCCATCCACTATAGTGAGTAGTCCGTTATGAATAGTATCCACGTAATGACTGGTTCGCTTTCGCTTTTGACGTATTCGACGCGTGGATCGCTGAGCAAATAAGCCCACGGTTAACCTTATCGCTCCTGGTTGTGCGACCCCTGTCGTCATTGTTGCCGTGTCGACCTGACGCTGCCGCAGCACCTGACAGCTGATTGTGAGCGAGCGAGCGAGCGTCGCGCCATTGGAGACTTCCTGCAGACCCGGTGAGGCTGGTCGGTCACAACGCGAGGATCGAGCGTGGCTACGGAGACAAGACGTAATTTGTAGCAGTTCAAATAGTTCGGCTAAAAGCCACGAAGAGCGGCGGCTGCAGCGCTGAAAAGCTGCTTCTCATGTCATGATTGGTCTGTACCCCGGTTCACCGTTACTATATTAAACTCGACTGTGGAAAGCCAACTTAGAAGCATAGTGTCTTGCCAACGTTAGAAGCTCTATAGCTATTATCTGCTAGCTTTGTGCTAACCGGACCAGAAAAAAGGTAGTCTTGGCCAAACATCGTGGCTAGTCGTCGCCGGACCATTGGTATTACTACCAGCATTGTTATTATTAGCGATAAATCTACCAGGGGCCAAGGAACAAACCTAAATAATTCGAAGAGGGGAAAAAGAAGAAATCTATTCTGTTGCTATTATGTAAGCAGCGTTCGAACTGTTTTCATCGTAATTTATTGTGGCTGTCTACCACGTGAGTGAAAAAAGGCCTGTCGGAGCTTAGCCAGACCGACAGGTGAAAGTTTTTCCGACACTGCCGTAACGGCGCAGCTACTTTGGTCCCCGACACCGCTGCCTTCGACAGCGTGAAAGTTCCATGCAGCGACGCACTCCGTTTATAACTCATGCCTGCTGTATACTCCGTGCTGTTCCTGGACACCAGCTCGCCCGACGGTAGATCAGCGTCGCTGTGAGAAGCGAGTCTGTGTCTATACGGTCTGTCACGGTTGACGTATGTATTCATCCGTGCGTTCCAGAGAAGTGTTTCCACTAGGGAGCAGTTAACTGGCGTTAAGCGCAAAAGTTTGCTAGTCAATTGCTTATTGCTGTCGGTGGATATTTCGATAGGTCGTGTTGGATTGGGTAAGGTTCGTTCAACGCAAAGTGACGTGATAACTAATTGTTCCATGTGTTGCATCGCCGCTGTGTTGGCGGAGCAAGAGTGGATTTCAGGCGAACGACGCTAGTGATTGGTTTATGGCGACGACACTGAAGGCGTTAACGTTAGTACAAGCGTTTGAAAGTTGGTGGCGTCATGTAGCTTGGAAACTCTGAGTGATTCTCAGTATTTGCGACAATAAAAGCAACTTTTAGTAGCCCTAGCGATACAAGGAATACGCAAAACGAGCGACGCAGTTGAGATAGTTGACATTCGATAGAAAACCCGGGCGGGATTTTCAGTTTAGCTTTTTCGGATTAACTCGACAGGCTAACGTATTCAGATCAGACATATCCGATCATCCCCCCTACGGCCATGTCCAATTTGTATCAAGATTTAAAAGGGCAAATTAAGCTGACGCCGCGTACAACCGCTCAGGTCATTAACTTGAATCAACCTCCAAAACCCGAGGAGATCTCTGCCAATTTGCATAGGCATCAGCAAAGTCTGCTGTCGCAGCGCAGCATCATTGGCCTGAACGGGCCGGTGTCGTCTTCGTCGACATCGGCAATCACCAATGCTACTTCCTCGGTGTTAGCACGCTCAGCTCCCGACCTACCTGGCGCCCGGCGAGGTAATCCACCACCGAACCTGTCCACAAACACAGTGGATCGCTCCCAAAGTTATCATGGAACCCTGTCGGACTTCTCCGACTTTTATCGACTTCCTCCCGTTTATCCGGGCAATCGGCGTGCAAGCGGCGTTACGGGACCCGTTTACGAGAACTATCCGCAGACTGGTGGTGGAAATAGCACTCATCCTGTTACTACAAGCAGTTTTTCCGGCCACCCGCCAGCCGTATCGATGTCAGCAACGCCTTTGCCCTCCGGCGCTTCGGTATCGATGTTGGACTACCTTCGCCAATCACCCCGTTCCTCGTTATCATCAGATTCGTCACCTCGGGAATCGGTTTTAGAAGCACCGCCTGCTTATCCTGGCCACAGCAAACCGCCTCAGCCTTTACCTGGCCAACCGCCCGTGTACGCGAATCTCGCTGAGCTCAAAAAGGCTATTGTTCCGTCGCCCCCACCACCGCCGTATAAGCCTGCTCCAGTAAAAAAACGTATTGAGGAACTCGAAAAGGAATTCCGTGCTCCGCGCGGCGGGGTCGCTGGTCCCGGACCATGCGGGGAGACGATCTCATCGCTGGGCTTGTCATTGGCTGGACTTTCATTGCCATCTGGTTGTAAAACCGAGCAGAATCCTTCGTTGCAGGCCGTCCATAGCTCGCCTTCACGAGACTGTCCACCACCGGCACCGGCGCCTCCAAGCCCGTGTCCTCATGAAGGCTCGGCAGGCCTGCCCCTTCCGCCTCCTCCTCCCTATCCAGGGGGACCGCACCCCGTCCATATATCCAGTGTGCCAGCTGGCCACAGTGGTCAGTCTAGTATAGGAGGGATAAACAACCGTGTGGCAACCAATGCTTTCGGTGGGTACAATGCTGCAGTGATGGCGGATTCCACAACGCCCCGAGACATGAGTCCGAAATCTGGTCACGGAGTAGCTTCTAGCCACCTTAGCGCTGGACTAAGTGCCCGAGTACAAGCGCAATCAGTACAGGATAAACTAGAACGGATGACACGCGAAATTGAGGAAGAGATGGAACGCCAAGCTCCTGATGGGGAGTTTTTCGGTAAGCAACACGAAATGTATACGCTTGTTATATGCGTATGGTATTGGATCATGTAAACACTCCTACCCTTTGTAACACTAGTTTAGAAGGAAGTCGTTTGCTTGATTCTTTACTATTCTATATTAACGTACTTTATTTTTGTGGAGCAGGGTTTCGCTAGCTGTTATCATCCGCTTGTTTGGCACGGTTCGAAAATTAAATCGACTAATGTTTAATTCTATTTGTAAAACAGCTATAGTTGGTATGACTTCTGCTGCCATGTATCTATTGCACAGTCAAGCCATATTTTTATCTTAAACTCAATTATCTATGTAAACGGTAATATGAAATGTGTAATAGTAATAAACTTAGCGCGCACTCGAACAGATTAATATCTGGTCAGCGTCGTGAAGAGCTCCAGACCGCGAGATAGTCCATCGCAACATGTTAGCACGCACGTGACCTATGCTGTGAATTTAGCCGTGACGTGTCGCAACAGAGGTCAGATTTCCTCATGGTGACATTGCAGTTTACTTAAGTATACATATATGTGTGGACCACTTGTCCGAAGTATGACGTTTTATTGCCACTATTATACGTTGATATTTTGCCAGCATACTCGCTTATTGATCAGTGCGGTCTAATTCTTGTAAATGAAAGTGGTGTCTCAGCCTCTCAAGATGCTATTACTTGGCCGGGTTGCGCAGGTAACCGCCAAATGCTGCCTAGTTTTTTTTTATTCGTACATCAGGCAGTAGTAAATGAGCTTATTGAGATCGCGGGCTTATCTGGCCTACATTTTTGATACGCGCAAAATCAAGTTCAGTGTGGCCAATAAAATATATTTATGTATTGTAAAAACTGCTTACACTGGGATAGGCGTTAGTTTATCCGGTTTTATTTAAGACGTATCAAAGAGCTGAACGGCTTCTAGATGAATATCCGATACCTTACCAAATGCATGCTAGTGAACTATAAGAAATAATGCTATTTACGCATTCAGCTGTTTGAAGCTCGTTTCAACTATTTGTAAAGCATACATTTTTTTCTGAACAGGGCAAATGTGTCGAGCGTTACGCTCGTTGCTGCAGTTTATGGCGCTGCTTGCAGAGGTTTTCATTGACCTAATAATATAATTTTTATTAAATTGAATCTATATACAGTTGACATTCTTTAGGCACGGGCCCCTGCTGGTTGTTATTCGATGCCGCCAATATCGTTCATAATATATGAATAACAAATAACAATCAATTAGATACGATATGATCCGAATTTTTTTTTGTTACAAGTAACTTTCATTACCTATGCTTCCAAGCCAATGGCGTATATTAATATATTGTTTTCTTAAGATTATAATATTGCATGTATGTTAATTACTCCATCGTTTTTCGTATTCTACGTCCCGTACTTAGAAAGGGTTAGGTGCTCCATTAGACGGCTGTTTCCCAATAAGAAACGAAGTTCGTTTACACCCATGTTCGGGCCCAGGCCATCATGTATTCGTAAGGTTGACAAAAAACACAGGACCCACTGCGTCATTTTGTGTTGATTGCACGTGTTTCGTGTTGATTTGAATTAGAAAATGCCCATTTGGCTGTCAACCAATCTCGGAACTAGTTGTCTTGTGACATAGTTGTTTGCAAATAATTGATACAATGAGATAATTCCAAAAAGTTAAGATGCCCTTTTCAGAGCAGTGTAATATACTCAACGTTCGTGCATCTTATCTCCACAAATGTGTAATAAATATTGGGTTACCAACCGCTTTATTTGCTCGACTAACTTTGCCAAACTTTCTAAAATAAGCTCCGAAAGTGCTCAGACAATTTTCTATTCATCTCCAATGAATTCGCGCTAGAATGATTCACTCAACTGACTGCTCGTATAATGCGTGTCATTGAAAAACGAATTCTTCTAACATGTCCTTTGTATAATATGAGAAGGAATATAATGTAATACAAGAAGGAAACTGCTAACTGGAAACAACCTTTCCTGAAACCAGTTGTTGGATGTGGTGAACCGATATGATCTACTGTTGTGGCTCTATCTAAGATAAATTATTTGCTTTTAAGAGAGTGATATTAATCTTATGACAGCTGTAATTTCCGTGTATGACCGACCCGATGCATTATCCAAAAAGATGCGTTTGGCGTTTCGAAATAATGGGTACCATATAAATGTTTTACCATCTACTATTTTTCTAAACGTTTCCAAATGGAAATAAAATCACTAAAGTGAAAGAAATATATTTTCTGTTAATAATGCACATAAATTCTGCATCTTCGTCGTCTATGGAAATGATACAGGACAAATTTGTTCAGGCAATATATATTGGCACATTGTGGGCGCTGGCATTTTAAAGAAGTACGAGAGTCATTATTCATTATGGTCATCAATAACTGGACTGCGAAAGAATCTAGACATTTTAAATTTAACCGCGATATGCACGGCAACGCCCTACATTGTTCGACACGAGCATACTGCAGAATGTGTTGAGTTATAGGTTACCACATTCTGCAGTTATAGGTAACTGAAAATATTAGAAAGGTTTGCGCTTTGCAAATAGGCGCCAGACTATAGATTAGTGATCTGATTTTGAATATTTTAGTAATATTTTTGTTGACTTATACTGTTTCATACAGGGTGGATAATGAGACGTGAAAAGCTATTTTTTAATATCGCTTTTCCATTCCAAGAGCGCATTTAAGGGACCAAAGCTACCTTTTTTTCTGTTTCTGGTTATTATGGGGCGACCCTCTTAGAGTAAATTTCGTGTAACACAGATGTTAAGACCAATTTAATGTTGTATTAAGGTAGAGTATTTTTTTGAAAAAGCACGTAACGATGGCGTTACTTGAGATGCTATTTTAAGTAATTTGTGAGTTTTTAACATTCACGAAAACTCTAGGTCACTCAACATTACAGAAATTCTAAAATATTAAATTTGCATCAAATCGATGCCGGATAGTTCCCTAGGACCAATTTATTATGCTTATATGTATATATACTGAAATCTGAATTTCGAACTTATTGAATTTCATGGGTTCTCATTTATATAGTTACTTGGATTGCGCGAATACAGAATGCTGATAACAAAACGTAATGCTAATGCATAGCTGACCTTTAAACATCACGTGATTCAAAGGGTATGGCAGCGAGCTTCACCCAGAGAATGTGCCCTTTATCGGTTACATTGGCATAACAAAATAAAGAAAAACCTACTCTAAGTATAGCTTATTACAGATCTATCCCCTTTATTTACAGCTTAACAACTAAGGACTAATAATATTTGTCAAACATAAAAATAATGTCATGTAGACTAACGTAAATCATAATATTATTGCTAATAATTATTGCCATTACACAAAATGAAATTGCGTAAAAAATGGCCAGCTACAATTGATAACCATTTCCCTATCATATCTAACAAGGATCCTTATACCAACCATTGGCACCCTGTACTAACGGAAAACGGTATCGTCCATAACAATAATAACAAATATTTCTATAGTCATTTTTCGATGAATAACAACGATAAATCTGCATCCTACTGAAGCGATACGCCTGCGGGAGACAGCTGTAAACTAAAGATGGGGCAAACTCCGATCGCCCCTACTTTCCTCTTTCAAGCTTCCATTTCTCCTATCCTGTTTGTTTTGGTGGCAAAAAATTTTAAATATTTGACGTAGTAGTCTAATAACGTGTATCTAAGAAGTACCGTTTCGACCATCTGCTGGGTAATCAATACAACGCATATGGACACGTTCGGTGCTGCTCGAGGTAAGCGCTTAGAAACAGTATTTGTCGGCATGAGTCGCCCGGGGACGGGTTCCTTCTGATAGGTGGACACTCGACATGAGTGACCGTCGTCAGCGACGTGAAGAGAGCTCGTGATTTATCGCCTACTCGCGTTGCTGCAGGCGGTGGGGAAAACGTCAGAGTTAGATAGGGAACGCTACTTGGGTCTCGGCAGCCATTGGTGGCCTTATGGTTAGAGTTATGGCCGTTACAATCAGATTGCTACGGTGTGCAAGATGGCTGGAAAGCGGCTAAAGTGTGGATTTCTAGCAATCAATGCAAAGATATGATGCGCCTACAGGGAAGTTTGTTTGATGATCTGGGACGAAAGCATAACTGGTCTGTTATAGCTGGTTACATTACGTTAAGCTGCAGTATCCTATAGAGCAAAGACATTTGGCAAATACAGTCAAAGCTCTGACATTCCCAGATGTTGAAACTCTCGTTTATTGAGAAGATGCAATTGCACAAAACCTGTATATTTCTGCTGTAGAGCTAGATTCAGGTTTTTAATTTTATCGATTATACAAGCAACTTGTCATTGAGGTGCGCAATTCACTTCGCTGATTAGCATTACTTTTTTTTTGTTCTTAATCGTTCCGTTTGTATAGGCTATAAATGGTGGGCGACAGAATTGCAAATGACAATCACAACGCCTCGTCCGTAAAATGGCGTCAATAGTATGTTGTCGATTAAGTTCTCGCGGCTACCTGTTTTCTGCTGATTGCGTTGTTCGCCACTCGAAATACATGGTTATCAGCTGCAAGTGCAAAGCTATCGTGGGTCGTAATAGCTGTCATTTCTCTCCCTTCGTGTTCGCCATATTTGTATCTCAACTTCGTCTGTCAGTATCCGGTTCCTATTTGCAAGCAAGTTCTTCGTAAGTCGCACTCAACGTCAAGTGACGAATCGCTGCAGCGACTGCTCGCTCGCTCGCAAATCTATTACTTTGCTCATCGCAACAAGGCGATCTTCGACAGATGAATATGTGCTCGTATTATGACTGCCGCCTCACTCAGCGACTGTGTCACAATATCAGAGCACGTATCAGGAACGAGTGTAACTGCCATCGCCGTAGCTCTACCGCTTTGTTCGTCAGCAGGTTGGTGCTGCTTAGTCTGACAACAGTCAGCGACAAACCTTTAGGGAGGAGACCTGAAGTAAGACGATTTTGCTGCTAACTGCCACCGCTTTATCTGCGTAGTATGTGTGTGTATATATCCTAGCGAAATGATCTGACATAAAACACGGAGACCACGAACCAGCAATTGCCACGCGACGAGGTGCGGGTTTTTGGTCCGTTGCGGTCTTGGGTGCCACCGCTATTGTGCGGCTACTATCACGCGAGAACCGTGGTCCCAAGACAGTGTCGGGACCTCTCCGTGTCCCGGTGGCCAGCAGCCGTAGATGCAGCCATATATATGTATATATAGAAACGTTTACCCACTGAAAGGTCCTTGGCGGGAGTGGCAATAGCGAAAAAGGCTGATTACGGCCGTAGTGGCTTTTAACAGTTGTAGAAATGGTAGTAAAACTTGCCAATCAGAGGGAAGCAAGTTAGTACACGTGTACGAGTCTACGCGCGGAGTACCAAAATGAGTGACGCCAGCCGAATCGCGTTATGTAGTCATCGCGTGACGAGGGCCTCGCTAGCCTCGAGTCACATAAAATTGTAACGTGTCTGGCGTGTTGTACTTCGCAAAGTTCCCATGGCAAATGCACAACCGCATGGGGCAGTAAGTAAGGTTTAAACTGGTGTAAATTTTTCGCTTCCGCGCTGCCAAGTCGAACAAAACCAGCACAATCAAATGGCACCTTCTGCATTAAATTGCAGCTAAGTGAGCCTGCTCAATAGCCTCAAGCTCGCGCATAATAAACTATTGAAAATATTCGTTGTCCATCATTGGTAGGAGATTGTGATTGTGCGATATGTAGGTAATGTCAGTGTAGCTAATATGATGCAGTGCGGTCAGTGATTTGCGTCAAGAGATATTGGTTTTTGGTGCGGTATACTGTTCTGATATCGAATCAGAGAACTGTTGATGTTACATTGCCATGGATGGTTGGGTAGACGATACTATGACAGTTCAAACGGATGACGTGGTGATTTTCGATAAGTCAGCGTAGAGCAATGATTGGCGAACGTGAATACTGTTCCGTTACACAGAAGTATTCACGCAACGGCGGTGTCAAAACCGTGCTATGATTAGTCGTGCTGGCAATAGCTGGCTACGCTCGTCCACCTGACAATGGAACCCAGCGCGAGGTTAATCGAACAGCTGCTAGACCGCATATTCACCCCATGTAAGCACTCAACTGTGAAATTATTTTAGCTAAGTAGAATTAGAATAATCTATTGCATTGGAACAGAGATGAGATTGCAACCAATGTAATTTGGGACTATAAAAACACTTCGAGGATAAGTGATCGTGAGACCATACCAAAAGCATACAGCTAGCTAGATATTTCCTACGACTCTTTGGCCTACAGTGCGTTTGCCAAATGTTCGACTACTTTGCCAAACGCTGTCTTACGGTACAAAGGACAAATCCCGGACCTTCAGTGGCCGCGAGGCTTATGCCTCGAATAAAGATACTATAGCGTAAGCTTTAATTACCCATGAAGCTTGAAAGACGATGTAAGGTTATAGGCACTTCAAAATTTGAGAAAGAGACCTAGGCAAAAAAGAGGGCTATATTTGTAGACGTGAACTGGTCTAGGCAGGCTCTATAATTAGCGAAGACTGCCATAAATGACATGTTCGATGGTATCTATTTGCATCAAATACATGTTTAGCTGATCTTTGTTCATAGTTTTTTTTTGTTTTTGTAAATATTTATTTTGTAGATAAAAAAAAGAAGTGTTTGCACCACAAAAACTTGGAGAATGCTTATTCCAACTGCTAGTCTCAGTTTTTTCCTACTACTAATGCTATAAACATTATACGGCATTAAATAATGTGACACTGTAAAAAAAATTAGAATAAGAACTATGAGAATAGTCGTGTCACATTCTATGCTGCTTTATTGTACCTGAAAGTTTCTCTTGAGCGAGCAAGGGTATTGACTTGGCTAAAAAAAAGTGATTCGAAAGCTTTTATGCTTCTCATTCATTTTGAGTTTCATAAGTCTTTCACGAAAGATTACCCGGCAGCTGTATTTCCGCTAGGTAACCTGTTTTTCTGCCATGCACTATCGCTTCGTTGAAACCTTAATATCTCCGGCCAACCCGAATAAGTAGGGCTTTTCAATTCATGTACAGTTCACGTACGACTTGACGTTTATTCCCGATAACAAGCAAAGTGATGAGGTTTTGGAGCACAAGCGAATAAGAACAACAACTTTAGAGAAATCTGCCACGTTTTCGTGCACCGCTTTTATTTTTTTGACAGTTTGTTCTAACTGAAATGATCACGTGGGTAGGCTAGAGTGCAAGACTGAAGATATCTTTTGTATTAGTTTACACAGTAATGGCTGCTATGCGATGCGGGCGCTTGTAATACGCGCAGGACCTTGTGGTGATGTTTCAGGCTATGCCTTTTATTGATCTTGATATTCTCTTCTGCCGTAGAGCTAATTTAACTCAAAGTTAGTAGTTCAGATGTAAGTTTATGGCTTATTGAATTGGCCTGATAGTTTGCCTTGTCTATACGTGCGTATAAAATGCTCAATACGTTGCAAAATCTAGACCAACTGAGGTTCGATGTTCATTCAAGGTACAATTCATCAGTGTCTTGTAAATCCAAATTTGCTTGGTTCTCCCAAAACATAGTCAGCAATATAAACACGTCTTAAAAGACAATGTAGTCCTTCAGATGATCAAACATGAATATTTAATTATTAAAATCTTTCTTGTGGTCCCAACATGGTCGAAAGTCCCAACTATAAACGTTCTAGGTCTATAGAAAAATCGTCTCCATTGTGAAGATGACTGCGTAAGAATTACCAAGCATCAAGACTTACGACATCAATTGATTGAGATCGAACATTTGATTGATTCACCCTTAATATTAACTTGAACATACTGACTATTGCCATGGTGACGGGACTGCTTGGGGCAATCGCAGTGTTGCTTAGGACCGTAATGATGCCGCCGGGTTTGACATTGTGTAGACTTTTGTAGTTGGAAAATATTATCATTCAACCTATCAGTACTTTGTTTCGTTATATTCATATTAATACTCTAGGACGTTTTTTTTGCGAGGAAGACGCTGCAAGGTTTAGGGAGTTCTACATGAGGATCAATGGTCAATCGAATGCTGTCCAATCAGTCTGTTCTTAAAATGAAAAAAATTAGCTATTTCAATAGAAAATATAAGACATGATACGAGGAAAAGACACTGGTAATATCATTGCATTTCTTACACTAGAATAACTGTGTTTGCTACAAAGAACATGGCAATCACATTTTTGACGGCTTTTTGAACCACTTAATTACGTTTCGAATGGCGCTGATAAAATTCGGGTGCCTATTGAAAACACTGAATTGATTCACTTAATAAAGACTCCTTTAAGCTGATATGCGGTAGATAGAGTTTGAAGGTTTGAAAAAAAAACATTAAGAAACTGTGGGACATCATTGATAGCTTAGGCATTGTTTAAAGAAACAGCTTTTATCAGCTAGTATCCCGTAACAGTATTGTAAGTTGTTTGTGGCAGGGTAGGACCGGTAATTGCGATGCTTGCAATTTTCATTCTGTGAATTAGACATATTTAGCGAACCTTGCTAAGACGAAATGCATTGGAAAATTGGGAAGATTAGACCAGCCACACTTAGGAGATTCTTTGTAGTGAGTTTTTGGACGACACATCTTTCGAGTTGATCAACAGCCCCAACTGAACATATCAGCTATGGCATGAAAATCTTGAAAAGAAATCGACGTCGCAAAATGCATAGATTACAATGCTTTTGCAGTTGCTAAACATAACGATATCTCTCAGTGGCAACCATATTATATAGTATGTATGTATACATATAGAAGCAATGTATATCTCCATATGTTAATATGTATATAACATGAATTTTTGTAGAAGTATTGATATTTCAATAATTTTATGAAGCGCGATTATGAAACTTCAGTGTAACTCAGAAAAATAATCAAACTTTATTTACAGAAACAATAGTTAGTGAAATTAAGCCTGATATTTGGCCCCATGCGAATATGCTTCTATTACTAGCTGCAAGTCAATGGGGGTAAAATCAAAATGGAACAGACATTTACCATAATGCAGTTGCTAGGTGAATAGAAATCGCAAGTGTGCAAAAACAGTTGTAGCGCAGAAGGTACGTACTTAATGCAATCATTTGAGATTGCTAAACTCAAACCATACATATAATATTGATCCCCCTGGACACTTCTTTTTTTTTTCTCTTGTGTGTAATTACTTTCTTTTACTGTTTTTGCAAACTGGCCCTTCCGGGTGTTCGTTTACGTCAAATCTCGTAAATTGATCAAGTCTTTATTTAAAAACAGTAAAGTAGAGAGTTTATCAATTGATCTCTAACTATTCAGATGAACTGATTTATTCGAATCTATCTTCGCTAAATCTGTCAATATTTACTCTAACTGTAGGTGTTTGTCATTCATGTGGCGAGAGGGTCGCTGGGGCCGGACAGGCGTGTCAAGCAATGGGACAGGTGAGCCTTGATTCTTCCCTTGGTTTGTAGAAATTTTTTTCGAATATTACCGGGCTCTAGTAAACATTACGTGAAACAGCATTGTGCACTTCTTCTATATTTTAGGCGTAATATCATTTACTAGCTAGAACCACAAAACCTTTTTCCGAGATTCTGGGCTTGGCAAATGTGACAAATTTCAAAAGCTGACACCCTATTTATGATATATGGATGAGAGTCATCGTTAACTTGCTCTATGTAGGCTTGATACATTCTGCGACGAACGATATGACGGATTCTGACCGAACAAGTCTGTGATAGAATCTCGGTGAAAGTTGTTGTGTACCTGTCAGAAAATCCCAAGTACTCTTCTTCAACATTGTCTTTTTTATCTGTATTACAGGTTTTTCACACACAATGTTTCGTATGCGTGTCATGTGGCCGGGCGTTGCGCGGGAAAGCTTTCTATAATGTTCATGGAAAGGTAAGCGTGAGTAATTTTAATTAAATAAAGCCAACGAGACATCACGTCAACGTCGAATCCCAACGCCGTGGGAAAAGTCGACGATTAAGTTTAAAATTTGGACTCGAAAAGGTAACGAGGAAAGCAATATTAGGCGAAGCCTCGTTACAAGCCTACGCGTTAATATAGAACATGCGGAATGTTTTTCTGTCGAAGCAAGAGATACCTGAAATTTGTGTGATGTCTATCAGTTCGGTAACGCGTTCAAATTCAGTGAGCCTTGTTTTTGAAAAATGTAAAAAATAGGATTACTTCATACATTCGATAAAAATGCATTGAACTGTAACTGTTCAAACTAATTTTTTAATGGTTTCAATTTGTTTAAGTTATTTCTCGCTTTTACCTACTTCACAGGTATATTGTGAAGAGGACTATCTGTACAGTGGATTTCAGCAAACGGCGGAGAAGTGTGCAGTGTGCGGGCACCTCATCATGGAAATGGTTTGTAATGAATAGCGTTACCGTAATCAATACTCATCATATACTATTTCTTCACCTCATCAGAATAAATCTCTCTGAGAAGAATGAATTCACCAAAGTTTTTTATAGATATATTTACTTTATAACGATATTTAGCATCCTGCACAAAGTATCTCTTACCTATCGGCTTGTTCTGTAACAAATGTGTTCAGCTAATCCTTCAAACAAATTTATGCTGAACTAATAATTTCCTGTAAATATGGGAGAGCTTTAGTGACTGATTAACATAGTCGAACAAACATTTTACAGATTCTTCAAGCAATGGGTAAATCGTACCATCCAGGATGCTTTCGGTGTTGTGTGTGCAATGATTGCCTTGATGGGGTTCCGTTCACTATTGACATGGATAACAAAATCTACTGCGTCCAGGATTTTCACAAGTAGGTTTTCTAATGTCACTTCCTGCGTAATAGTAATGAAAGTAAGAGTAATAACATAGTGAAGATGTAACAACAAATGATTCGTCTTATAAAAGTCGTGCATGACCGGAAGTTTTCAACATGCTTTAAAGCAATTAATATTTAACTGAAAAGGATCTAGCGCTAAAAATTCCGCAAATAAAAACCAGTTGGACGAAAAGAACGCGTTAAATTTCGAGTTAAACTAATTGAAAGTCGTACAACGTATAACGCAAGTTAATACATTTCGAATCAAGCGCTAATAGAGACAGATACCAGCCAACGTTGGCGAAGACAACATCATTGAAGCGTATCATTTTTCCTGCTTTTTAAGGGGAATACTTTGGGCACTGGCGATGTTAGTCTAACACGCTAATTATTATCAATCAAATGAAACATCCAGTACGTCCTGATAATGTTTAGTACATAAAGCAAGTACGTGTCTAAGCGTTGGCCAACCTTAGATTTACTCGTCACTGTTTTTGTATGACTATATTTTTTTCACTTTTATAGGACGTACGCACCAAAATGTGCAGCCTGCGGTAAGGCGATCACCCCCGTTGAGGGCACGGACGAAACGGTTCGGGTAGTCTCGATGGACAACGATTATCACATCGACTGCTACGTTTGCGAGGTAATTTAAAACAAGACTTTAATACTACTCGATATTGCAAAAATGATCTCCGCTGCGCGCAAGTCATATCCGTTGAAATCAAACTATATAATAAGGTTAATAGATCTACCGCTGGGAAACACAAGCTGTAAAATAGACGGATCCAGTACCTTTCCCCTAGGCAAAAAGCGTTTTGAATTTTGCAGCCCCTTGAACAGTTAACGATAAATTTACCTTTGATTTCTATCATTAGTATATTGAATTTCAATGATGTAAGATGAGCAATTGAAGTTCGGAGCTGCATGTAACATGACATATCTCTGCTACATCATCTACCGTTATCTTGCGTATAGTTTACCATATACAATGCCAAATACAAAGATGACAATGACGTAAGTATATATCTATTGTTATGATGTGTATGTTTACGGAGAAGAAAGCTACTTGACAGTCTGAGAAGGTTTATCTTCTATCTGTTGAAACTGTAGGAGTTTGAGACGTAGCAAAAATAGGAATGAAAATACTTTCGAGCAAATAGTCAAGTGACTTTTGTCTCACCCTCTATAGAGATCAGCCGATTTGGACGTTTCAATTTCCATCAACAATGCGCTCAATTAATTTCCAGGATTGCAAACAGCAATTGACAGACGAGCCCGATAAACGCTGCTATCCTTTAGATGGCCACCTGCTTTGCCAGCGGTGCCACGTCCGAAGGCTTGAAGCCCGAGGAAGCCGGAGCAGTTCGGCGTGCGCGAGTCATTCTTCTCGACCTCACTCACCTCGCCAATCACTGCAGCCACAGCTGCAACAGCAACTTCATCAATATCAACATGGCACACAGGCACGTTGATACTGATTAACATACGGTAGTTCGACCGACAACATAATTTACGACGCGCACTTATAGTACAGAGATTAGATTACGTATACGTGCTTGCCAAAACGGGTGCAAGAACACAGACGGTTCCGACAAAATACTGAATGTAGGCGTCAATTACCTAATTTTTTGTCATGCAATTTCGAAACTGACAAATACGGGTTGCTTTATAACGTCAACCAAAGAAAATAACGTTACCCACACATAAATATAGATAACGCTATGGCAGGATAGTTGAGTCGGGTATTAATTGTACCGTCCTATAAATGATATCGTAAATAGTACTGTAAACCGCGTGGGGTATCGTTGAGTTAAAGGTAACATTTAAGATAAGTATATTATTACCAAACGTAATAATCTGCTCATAAATAGCTCAAAATATCACTGCATTTTACCACTAACTTGATAGAGTCTGTGTTTTCTTTGATTTTCATGTTACAGGGAGCCCAGGTCGTTTGGAATGGCCATCCGCCGTAGATCGCGATTAGACAGTTAGAGTCTGTGCATGTCTATTCTAGAAACTGAGTAAACGCACCCCGGAGGCGATACTTTTGTTTATTTTCTAATTGTACGAAATCGATTACACGATGGAATTTAACGAAGTAGAAAAAGGACGGCGAATGTTACCAAGAGCAAGTAGTAATGAATATAGTTATATTATTAAAAGTATTTCATTCTTGTGGAATCCTAAACTAGGATCCGTTCGTATCGTCGATCGATGATGATGCGAATGAATATTGATGTCACCTAATAATGCTATATGTGCAGTCGCATATGCTAACATATATACATGTAATAATATAGAAATAAATTATATATTATGCATAAATTAGGGCGGTTGCCATTAGAAGATTCCGTTCCAGTATCGGCTTAAATATGCCACGAATCTTCAATTCATCGTTATAATCGCATAATAATTTTCCATATGGCCGAGAAGGCTTTGTGTCAGCCAAATCAATCATAGTGATAATTCAAGAAGCAGCATTTCAAGGACTCTGACAAAGTATACACATCAATCATCAAACTGTATATTTATTTGCAAGCAGCGGCTACGGTCTGTGTAAACGTCGTTCAGACGTAAATGCAACTATAGGGAATAAATAAGTGGCAGAATTGAACAGGCGATGATTTAGGAAGGTTGTGCGAGGGTAACGCGAAGATAAACCATTAGAGAACAACGAACCCGCACAAGTGTGCGTTTTTTATGACGCGCTAGCTATGTGACGTCTAAAACAGAAAGAGAAACCGATCAGCTCTGTGGTAATGGAGTCTGTAGACGTCTAATTATTTAATTTTAAGTAACTGTTGTGGTTTGTTGATATAACTCGAATACGTAATCGTAACAAGGATTGGGACAGAAAGAGAGAGAGGGAAAGGGAAGTCATAGAAAAAGCCAACAATTAGATCTGACAGTGTCAAACATACCCAGCTGTTTTGGCAAACTAGGTATAAATGGATTTTGTTAATTTTTTGCAGCAATTGTAGCAGTCATACAAGATGACTACCACTATCAGTGGCCAACATCAGTAAGCATCAATTAATTACCTGGCAAGATGTACGTAAGTTTTTGCTAAGCACAGCTAAGGGTTCAATAAAGACGAAGACTCGAGGTGGGTGTTTAAACGCTAACTTCTTGGGTTGTTCCTGAGGCAATTTTCTTGGCAGCTTTCTACCATAGATGGAGGCAGCAATAGTAATGATTTTTGTTATTATGTCGTGTCCTCACCATTATTTTAGTCGTATACACATTATGACATAGTGACTAACCTTGTGACAGAAGTGCGACCTGTTCTGCATGACATAAGGATGAATATGTGCTCCGTTGTGGTACAATAGTATCTTATACATTGAGACAATACTGTCTAAACAAGTTATCACCTCTAGTAGAATAAATATAAGTAAGAAATGATTGTATGGCACGCGAGGCAAAAAGCTAAAATTACGACGACGATGGGAATAAAAAGAGGAGGTACTACTGCGTTATATAGACACTGGTGATCTTTTTTTTTACTGAACCCATCGGGGAGTTGGATATGGGTGCAAATTTAACCTCTCCTGTATTCATTTATTTGCATAAGCTGCGCATATATAAGGGACAGTATTTAAAGTCCGTCCCTGTTCGGACTTTTCTCCTCGCGTGTATAGCGTGATATGTGTTGGCGAACATGAACGGAACATCGACGACAAACCCTTTAAGTCGCCCATAGTGTTTGCATATTAAAATAATGATTAACGTTAGAATCAGAAGAACACCTTACACTAAAAAATAACCATAGCTTCTAGAGAAAACATTTGTTTTTTTCTTTGAAAAAGTATTTCAGGTCTACACCTTATAGTGTCTAGACAAATGACTAAGTTTAGATAAAATGCGAAGACGACTGTACATTATAACGTTACAATATATATATATATATATATATATATATATATATATATAAAGAACAAAACTTGTTATCAAAAGCACAGCCGTACACTCAACAAAAAACAATATCTGATCTTCATTGTTGAGAAGTGCTCAAAATTAAGATGACCCTTCCGAGCTTGCAGTGAGTTTTGGAATGTAGAAAATAGATATTTTTCACCCGGTGTATAGAGGTCAAGAGAGTAAATATCGCTTTATCAATAGAAACATGGCTCTCCAAAGAACGGATTACTTCAGCTCGGTTAAACTGCAGTGGGTCCCGAAAGAGGATATCGCATGTGTAAGTTGTTATACTTATAAGAAATGGAATACCGTGTTCCGAAATTGATCTAAAATCCATTTCGTTCAGAGTTGTTGCTTGCAGCATCACGTTTTTACGCATAGCGACAAAGCTTGTGTTAGTTCACCTCTCACCTGCAGGTTCAACTAACGATCTTTTAGTCTCATGTTAACACTAACCAAAGAGCAGCGATAAAAGATAAAAATACTCTAATCATTTTACTATGTATAATGCTCTAGTTAATTGATTGTATATATATATATATATATTAAAACTGTTGCGTATCGATTGAAACACGCTAGGAATAGCCTGCAAGTGCGGGGGTTCGAAGAGAATAACGTTCTTCAGCTTTTGCGCGTATCATAAATTGTTACAAATCCTTTCCGACACATCCTAAATATGATGTCTCTACTCGAGTTTGTCTCATGATGGTTCCCAGCCCGAGCACCTTTTGGTAAAATTCTGCATTTAAAGGATTACATATAGTGAGTAAAGCCATCCCCAAAGACCTAACTATGCAAAAATAAAGCTGCCATAGTATCTGATCTAGATCAAATCGATTGAGATATGTTGTTTAAAGATTGTGAAAACGTAAGCAGCATGTTAAGCTCATTGGGTTTTACGAACTCGTCCCACATATGTGGAAAATACGGACGCTGATTAGGGAACATGTATATCAGCTGTATCTTATCTTTAAATAACTGCGATTAGCAAAGCATTGTGTGCCTACAAAAAAGTTCATAAAGCGACCAGAAGATAACCGGGAACCCTGAAAATTCAAAATCAGATTGAGAAAAGGATTCACTTAACTCATAAAACATAAGTGACGGTAAAAAAGCAAAAACACTCGGCACTTTGTTTCAAATTCAGATATCCGTCCAACGACGAGTTTGTTCAACGTAGCCACTGCTTTCTGATAAATTTCCTGTCCATGACCTGGATGCTCCAACGTCTAAGAAAACTGCAGTCAAAAACTAGCAAGACCTCAGACACTTTTATCAGACATACTTAAAAGGCCAAAAATTTCGATCCGTATTCCCCCTTCACGAAATCGCAGGCGATCCAACGAAAGTGCTTAAGTGACAGATATATTTCGGACGGCGTGCCGCAGGCACGACCGGGGGGTAGAAGGTTGGGTCTACCAGAAAAAAGCCGATATCACTAACGATAGTAGTACGTAAACTGGTAGAAAGCGTCGCTTGTGCGTCCATACACAGGGAAGTTAACAAGCAAGGATTGGCATATGCAAACCGGTCTACAAACTGGAATGAAGTGCCGATTTGGCAGTTATTGGAGACATAGCTCAAATGATATGTTTCAGGGTCTTAACCTGAAGTCAGCGTTTGACCGAGTAACCTATTCCAAGCTCTCTTAACGAGTTCTGTGTTAGAATCGATCAAAGATACTGAGACACTGCTAAAGCCTCTTATGGGATTTCTCCTGAATATTCTATACATGAACTCAATCATATAAGTGTTAGCCCTATCAGTAACTGTATGCAGATTATGTAAAATTATATACGTCTTCGCCGCCTGCTATCACAGGATACTCTCGGCAAGTCTTTAAAGCAAAGGATTAGATTTAAACCTATCGGTTGAAAGATGCATTTTACATTTCAGGTATGCAAACCATAATAATATATATTCCATTGGCGGATTCGACCTAAAAATCGTAAGAGCTATCCGTAATCTATGAGTTGCCATCACAGTTACTCTGAAATACATAAAACATGCAACTCAGGCATCATGTTGCCCTAACAGGATCTACTAATCTTTTAGAATAAAAGATTAGTAGATCCCGTTTAGTAATAGTATTAGGCAATTGGAAAAATATATTGGACTGCTCCTATTGCATGACGTACGCAGCATCCGTACGGTAATTAAGGAGCTTGAGAAAGTTTGAAGTGCATACGCAAGACGCGCTACCTTCAAATATTAGTGTGGATAAAAACGATAGAACTCGTTTCAGTTCCTGAGAGATTTGATATCACTAATAAACAGACGTACGAATGTATCAATAGGTAGTTACCAAATTTAAAAACAGTAATGTTCGGCATGATCGAGACAAATACTAGACCTTATTACGACATTTGGCTAGACAACATAGCAAAAAAAACGGTGCGTAAATAACTTATTCTCATGGGGTATTTCCCATACGTTGCACAGACAATCATACCACAATGGATAGCGTATTTGTTTTTATGCATACTCGCACCATGTAGCAAGAAACTTTTGAATCAAGTGTGTAATTAAGAAAAAAAAGGCTCAGAAGATTTTTCTTTGTGATTTTTTTTATCAGCAGGAAGAATAATTTCAATTTTTGATTCAAACTAATAGTACGGCAAAATAGATAATCAAAGTTAAATGGAACACTTACATTTTTATTATAAATCATGCATATACAATTATGTAAGTATGTACATGCTAATAAATTGAACTCATATAGACTGGGAAGGGACTCAGAAGGCATATCAATTAGGTATATAGTCGATACTTACTTTTCTAAAATATGCTATAGTTATTTTTATATAATATTTGCTGGAGAATACCTGGCCATGGTGGGGTTTATCTCCGATTTAGCTGTGTGTATCTGACTTGAATTTCGAATTTTTCGTTTTTAGCTTCAGAGGAAAATCATAATGTAAAATCAACCGATCGTAAAATTTTACATCCTTTTCCAGAAATCATTTGTTTCGCCAGAAGTCCAGTGGGAATTACATTTGAACTTGGCTCATTGCAACTTTCTTAAATCCTGCGGCGAATCAGGTTTTGACTAATGGAAGTTTACAAATACGTGAGTCAGGACTTTATGAGTTCTAACGGACAGTATTCCGATTATGAAGGTGTTTCCTGACAACTGTTTCAGTAAAAGGATGTTTTTCCTTTTCGCGTCAATGTGGCGCCACCGATTTCTCTCGAAAGAATTTGTGCTTACCTCACTTAAGGGACTCGAAACACAGATTAATTCTATATTTAATCAGTTATTATATAATTTTTTTTACGAACTTATATTCAGTTCATGTAGCTTTTTTTTTTTTCTAAAGAATACTTGCCGTCGACCTTAAACAATGCAAAACCATAGCTGAGTGATCTATTTCAGTATCTACAAGCAGACATATATATCGTCTACCCGGCTTCGTCTAATTTACTTTTTCAGAGGACACCGAAACTGATCGTCAGGTCGGCCGCTCGACTGTTTTTTCCTCGACATGCAAAACATTGCTCATTTGTGTTGTGACGTGCCTACGCTCGTCTGCTCTACATCGCCACCATCTAACCTTCCCCCTCATACGATCACCACCCACATCCTCCTCTGAGCTAAAGGTTAATCCCATATTAAAAATTTAATAAACTTTTACACGGCAAGACTCACGCCGAGAAAGCAGAGCTCACCTTCCCCCCAGATTCAACTCAGTGTAATTCGCTCAAGAGAAAGGAAAAAAGTATTTTTTATCTTCCGCAGTCACCGTCGCCTGTCCGCTATCTTTGAGCGTCGTTATTGCGAGCCTTACTCGTCGTTCTTCGCTTGGCTCCAACGTTGTCCCCTCAGGGGGTGATTCCTTCAAATTCCCCCCGCCGTGGTCTGCTGCTATGTACCCTTCCCTCACTTCTCACTGGGAACATGAGTGTTAGGGAAAGTCGCTGTGTTTTTTGGATAGTCTTGTTCTTTATTCCTCCAGGCAGCGCCTCACCGGACCAGCCAGTCTCCTGGTAGCCCTACGAGAACGTACGTATCTGTATTCCAGTCTATACGGTTGGGGCAAACAGTCTTTGTTATGCACGCTGGCCAAGGCGTTGCTTTGTATTGTTCCTTCTAGACGCTAAACGTTGACTTCGTCCAGCCGAAGGGAGAGAGAGAGAAAAGGGGTGTATAAGGGGAAAAGAAGGCGAAAGTGACACTAGTCTCACAGCTCTCATGAACACTCCTTGACCCGGTCCAGCTACGGCGAAGCATCTCCAATGCCGCCCCTGGTAAGGAACAATGAGCAGGAGGGAAGGACACGGCGTTAGAGAATCAAACAATGAGATAGTACAACAGCTAAACAGTGCGCAGGGAACGAGAGGTTTAGTCTGAGCTTTGAACTCGTGCGGTGGTTGGTTGCATTCACTCAACGCGTTGAACTTACCTTCGCTAATCCACTTAGGCTGGCTCATCTTGACAGTACGGCCGTCTTGATTATGCACTGGACGGAAGTACTTTGTGTTATGTACGGGTAAAAGGCAGAGAATTGATTGGAAGCTCAGAAAATCACTAGATTCTGTTGCAACCCTATTTTACGGTGGCTACGAAAAGCGCGCAGTCGATAACTTGCGTGGGCAATAGATGCTGGTAAAACTCGAGGGTACACTGAATGCCGTTAGAATTTTCATTTCTTACTCGCTATTATAGAACAGAATAATGATAATAGTAAAACCCATGCGTATATGTATAAGGAGAAGTTTCTGAACGGCAAGATAGACTATATGTCTATCAATTAGAGGAATTTAGTTATATATAATTGAATCGCTGTTTTGGCTGGGATGGCACAATTGTTACTGCATTTGTTACTTCAGCTGTTTGAAAACTCCTAATTTCGAGAAGTTAAAATCGTCTCGCT